CCTGCTGGGAATCAGAGGGATCAGCACTTCCCCTTCCTGGTCACCCTTCTGCATAGGAAACAGCCTGCTTCAAGCTTCATCCCACTGCAGGGAGGCTTCGAGGGATATGGGGACAGGAATGAGGCACTCACTGCCTGTAATCCACAAGGGTTTTACTCCCCAGCTTTACTTGCTGGTGGGGTTGTTGGAGGTTGCAAAGGACCTTCAGGCCACGTGAGGAGGATGCTGGTGAGCAGAAGTGGATGCTGAGGTTGGTCACAGACCTTTGGGTGGGTTCTTCATCTAGAGGAAGGTTCTTGAAGAGGAAGATGTAGAGTCGGCAGCTGGGAAGAGCCGATTGCAGGTTTTGGCCATGGTTTAGAGGTTCCTTGGTCTGATTTTTAGCTGCTTTCAGGGGAAAAAGCTCGTGAATTCATGTTTTGGGCTGGTTTGGAATCGCTGCTGGCCTGAAGCTCTCCTCCTGTGTCCCCTTGCAGAGCAGTGGTGGAGGCTGTTCATCGCCTGGATCTCATCCTGGGGAACAAGGCAGCGTATCAGGAGGTGTTCAAGCCAGAGAACATCAGCTTGAGGAACAAGTAAGTTGGGCAGAGCAATTGCTTTGCACCATTCCCTGGGGAAGAGCCCAGTGAAGGAGCCCCTGGAGCTTCCAACACAGTGTAAGCAGGTTGTTGTGCTCCTCGTGGCCTGGGTTTGGGAGCAGAGGCTAGATTTGAAGCACACGGCCCATGGCTGGAGACTGTCGCTGAGCAACGACCAGGTCACCTCACCCTGGCCAGTGTCTTCCCTGTGTTACCACCTTCCCTGGGTGTGAAAGCTCCTCCCAGGCCCCGAGGGTGCCCAGCAGGGATGAGTTCTCCTGCCTCTTTAAGCTGTCAAGACAACCCTTGGCACGACCCTTCCTGCAGCTCAGGAAGCTGCTGGTGGCCCATTGACCCAAGGTGACCATGAGCACTTGCAGATGCTGTTGTGGGGGGGTGATACAAGGTGTACCATCACCCAGGGCCCAGCTCATCCCTTGTAAAATGCTCTGGGCTTCCTCTTCCATGCTTACCAAGTGGCAGCTGCACTTGGAGGTAGATGTGACTTCTCTGCTCTCTGTCGCAGGCTGCGGGAGCTCTGTGTGAAGCTGATGTTCTTGCACCCAGTGGATTATGGAAGAAAAGCAGAAGAGCTGCTCTGGAGGAAGGTTTATTATGAAGTTATCCAGCTCATTAAAACCAATAAAAAGGCAGGTATCTGGGGCTCTGGCCTGAGAAAGCCTCTGCCTGGGCAGTGGGTGTCTCCCCATCTTCAGAAGCTCCCATCTCCCTGTGGAATGCTGGTCTCCAGAGGCACAGTGTTCCCACTTGTGTTTTCCAATGCCACAAGCCCTCTCCTGGTGACCTGGTGCTCTGAAGCTGTTTCAAGTGCTTTAAGCAGTCACCTTGATTTTAATTACCTCTTGTTGCAAGACTTTCTCCTTCTTGATGTTGACCCTTACTCTGTCCCACTCGATAGAGCATCGCTGAGCAAGAGAGGGTACACACCTGTGCAAAGCTCCTCCTGAGCTACCTCCTGTCCTGCTTCCTACTTGGTGTAACTGGGGTGGCCAGTGCAAATGTTACCTGGGTTACCAGAGCCTCCTTTCTCCTCCCTGCAGCACATTCACAGCCGTAGCACCCTGGAGTGTGCCTACAGGACTCACTTAGTAGCTGGGATAGGGTTCTACCAGCACCTTCTCCTCTACATCCAGTCCCACTACCAGCTGGAGCTGCAGTGCTGCATCGACTGGACACACGTAACAGACCCTCTCATAGGTTAGTGCTTGGGTTCACTGGTGAGGACTCAATCTCTGGCTGGACAGAGGGGCTTGAAAAGCTTCTTTAAGCCTGCTAAATGGGCCTGGTTGTCCTGTGACCCCCAGTCAGCAGGGTCTGTCCAGCAGCCTTTGCCCAATGGTGTGTGTGATTCCCTCATGCAGGCTGCAAGAAACCTGTGTCTGCATCGGAGAAGGAGATGGAGTGGGCCCAGATGGCTTGTCACAGATGTCTGGTGTATCTGGGAGATCTGGGTAAGAGCAGCAGCAGCTTTTGGGGTGTTTCATACAGTGAAAAGATGGTGCTTGGCCAGGGCTGAGTCCCTCGTTGTTAGCGACCAGCCAGAGGGACTTGTGGACACTGGTTTCCCTCTGACGGGTTTGGCAGTGAGTGGTGTAAGCTGGGATCCTCCTGGCTCCCTGAACTTCACCTCAAGCTTTAGCTTTAGGCAGGTAGATGAGATGGGAAGCAGTGGCTCATGGAGGCCTTCACTTCCATTGGTGTTGTTTGGACAGTGTGAAGGCAACTCTGAGACTTCTCACTTCACATGTGCCTCAAGGCTGCCTCGCTGCTGTCACCAGCATGGGCATGACACAAAGGCAGGTTTCTTAAGGAATACTGGGAGTCAATCCTGAGCTTTAGGCCACCCCAGGTTCTTCATCACCGTGTCTGGCTCCACATCATCCCTTTATAGCAGATAAAGGTGTCTCTCCCCCACGTGTGTGGGGTAAGTGTGTCAGCGTCTTGTTGTGAACACAGGGGAGGGAAGGCAGGGAGGAACATGGAGCTGGGTGAGAACCAGCTCTTTGAAGTGTGACACAGCTCCTGGAAGCTCTTTCCCCTTCTCATTGGGCATGAATCAGCCTGAAGATGGCTTTGTCCCAAAGAAATGGCTGATGGGGGTAGGAAGAGTGACTGGTGGAAGAGAAACGGCCTCATCTCTTCCGTGTGCTTTCACCTCGGGTTTCCAAAGTGCCTCCTGTTGTCCAAACCCTGAAGGCACAACTATGTTACTAACTCAGCTGCCTTGATGTAGTTTTCCCACTCTGCTGCAGCAGAACATAGTCTGAGGCACTGGAAAACGAGGCATTTCAAGGATACATTGATCAGCACTTAGCACATGGAGCAGAATTTCTCCCCTTTGCTTAGGTGCTGTTACAAGTGTTGAGGGCTTCACGTGTGGTGTGCAGTGAAAACAAGAGGGTTTCATGGAATCACGGGGTGCTTTGGGTTGGAAAGGACCTTGAGACACCCAGTTGCAACCCCCTGCCACGAGCTGTTTGGTTTTGATGCCTGCTGTGTGGTTTCTTTCAGCTCGCTACCAGAATGAGCTGGCAGGCGTGGACACGGAGCTGCTGGCTGAGAGGTTTTACTATCAGGCCCTTTCTGTTGCACCACAGATTGGTGAGTGAGTCTGTAGTTGTTCAGATCCCCTTGCCACAAGGTGACTCCACCACGTTGTGAGGTGGCAGGATTCTGTCCTGCTGCTGAGGGAGGGCTGGCTTCAGCCTCTGCTCAAAAATCACTTCCTTTGAGAAGCTTCCTTGCTGACTCCCCAAAGAGAGGAGTTAAACCAAAGTGCCCTTCACCAGTGAGTGAAGTGTGTATTAACTTCCTCATCTGCTAACCCCGAGAATTTGTGTGCCACGTAACAGAGCAGAACTCTTAGATGCTGGTGAGATGATGTCTGTGGCAGGAGGAGTCAAGGCCATGGCATTACAGGAGGGGAAGGCATTGTTTGCTCTGCTTTCTTATGCAGAGAACTGGCAGGAAGGTGGGGAGGATCTAAAAGCACTACAGGACATGAAACAAAAAGCTGTGTGCCTGAAGGATTGAGTAGCCCAGACCTTTGTACTCCAGCTTTACTACTGGTTGTGCCTCCTGGCTCCCCTCCTGGGGAGAAATGTAGTGAGAGGGAAAGGATCTGCTTTCTAGGGCCACGACAGGATTGTCACCTAATGCCATTGCCCCTCTCCCGTGACAGGCATGCCCTTTAACCAGCTGGGGACACTGGCAGGGAGCAAATACTACAACGTGGAGGCCACCTATTGTTACTTACGCTGGTGAGTGTGTGTCCTGGACAGAGAATCAGTGCACTCTGGTTGTGGGACCACGTTCTTGTCTCCTTTACTTGGGGGCCTGTTTGCAGCGGCTCAGTTTCAGGGGACATCAGTGGGAAGCCAATAGCCCAGCAGGCTCAAAGCAAAGCACTAAGTACCCGTCTTCATGCTGAAGTGACTGAAAAGCTTTATGGCTTTAATACAAGCCCTAAAATGTGAGTAACCTTGTGGCAAAGTAACCGGGGCTGTGTTCTCTTTGGGGGTCTCAGCATCCAGTCTGAAGTGTCCTTTGAAGGTGCCTATGGGAACCTGAAGCGGCTCTATGACAAAGCAGCCAAAATGTACCACCAGCTGAAGAAATGTGAGACCAGGAGGTTGTCTCCAAGCAAGAAGAGGTGAGAGGGGAAAGGAGAAGGTTTGCAGTGTCCCCAGAGTCATCCTTGGGGCTGGGAGCAGTGTCTCTGCAGTGGGAACTGCAGGAACGGCTGCCTGGAGGCAGGGCTGTTCCCAAGATGTTGAGCTCCCATTCCTGAGCTCTCAGCTCCTCATTTCAGGACAAAAGCTAAATGCTGGCTCGTTGTAGTGTGTGAGATGAGACATTTTCTCTCTCTCCCCTGGAGCTGGTGACTCTTCCTGAGGGTTGAGGCATATCTGGGACAGTTTGAAGTGCACGAAGGGTCTTTTTCCTCTGTAGTTTCCTCAAGATGTGGTTTTGAGTGGAGACCTGATTTACCTGTGCACAGAGCTCTGCTGGTCTGGTCCATTCTGCTTTACAGTATTTTCTTCCCAATCTTTTTAGAGGCAAAGACATTAAGAGGTTGCTGGTGAGCTTCATGTACCTGCAGAGTCTTTTGCAGCCAAAGAGCAGGTGAGGTTACAGCACGTTCTCTCTCCTGTTGCTAACTCAGTAATGGGCATTCAGACCTGAGAGACACTGTTCCTGAGGGTTAACAGTGCCCGTGCTGAGGCTTCCTGCCAAAAGGGCCAAGACTTCAGTTACCCTCATGGTGGAACATCTGAAAACAGAGATTATCCCCTTTGAGGCTTCTCCCTTTCAGGCGGAACAAACTTGCTTCTCTTTCCTCTCCCACATCACGTTCTCTCTTCCCCTTGAGAGTCTTCTGCCAGGCTGGGTCAAGTTTATCAGTGTCTTTATGGGTTTGGGTGCACTGGGGACCCCAGATTAGCTGCACTGCTCCAGCTGCCATCTCCTGAGTGCCAAACACAGAGGGGTAGTTGTTTTCCTCAGCCTGCTGCTGTGCCAGTGCAGCCCACTATGGGACTAGCTTTCAGCTACTGCCTACTACCAGAGTAGATCTTCAGTGCTCCTTAAAATAGCTGCTCCACACTTCTTTAGTGCCTAAGAAAACTGGGAATGGCTTCAATTCCTCCAACTCCCTGAAAAGGATGCTTTGCAGCCAGGTTTGGTTTGTAAGGAGGAGGCTCCTGGAGCCTGTCACACTGGGTACTGTGTGTGCTTCCTTTGAAGTAGCTGATAGCTACAGAGAGTTGGGAATATTCTGCCAGGGCTGCAAGTTAAAGACATGGGAGTCGAGTGCTAAAGTATGGCCCAAGAGCCAGGTTTGGGTCAGCTTCCCCTCAGGCCTGAGCCTGCAATACTAACCCTGGTTTGGTTTTGCCTCTCGTTGAGCTCTCTGGATTCCGAGCTGACATCTCTGTGCCAGTCTGTGCTGGAGGATTTCAACCTGTGCTTGTTTTACCTGCCCTCTCCTCCTAATCTGAGCTCAACTAGTGAAGATGAAGAAGAGTATGAGAGTGGCTACTCCTTCCTTCCTGATCTCCTCATCTTCCGCATGGTGATCATCTGCCTCATGAGTGTCCACAGCCTCAAGAGGGCAGGTAACAACTGCTTCCCTCAGGGGGCTCTCGTCTTAACTCTTGCCTCAGGATGTTGACAGTCGTGGTCTGGACTCGTGCTTGCTCTTCTCCACCTCCTGCTGCCTCCTTGCAGGTTCCAAGCAGTACAGTGCAGCCATTGCCTTCACCCTGGCCCTCTTCTCTCACCTCATAAACCACGTCAACATCCGCCTGCAGGCAGAGCTGGAGGAAGGGGAAAATCCAGTGCCAGCCTTTCAGAGTGACAGCACAGGTGAGCTGGGTCTCCTGGAGGCTCCTCCTTTGCCTTCCTCAGTCTCCTGGGGGTGGGTTTTGGTGCTGGGTGGGCTTAGAGACATCAACACTTCTGGGTGCTGAAATCCCTCAGGATGGGTGACGTGCTGAGACCGAGACGCTCCTCACAGGGTGAAAACATGGCTTTCCTTGTTGTAAGGAGTTATCTTTCTGCATCTCTTGGCAGCTCATTCACCCCAATCTGTGCTCCTTATTTTCTGTGTCTCTATTTGCTGCTATTTACTGGGCTTTTCTCCTTACTCCTCTTTTCTCCTCCACTGAGATGATTTGAGGTGAAACATCTGAGCAGAGCCTCGGGGGGGCAGATCTTGCTCAGCAAACCTCATCCCTACTCACACTGCCCAGAGAAGCTGGGGCTGCCCCATCCCTGGCAGTGTTCAAGGCCAGGTTGGACACAGGGGCTTGGAGCAACCTGCTCTAGTGGAAGGTGTCCCTGCCCGTGGAGCTGGAGGAGGTTTAAGCTCCCTTCCAAGCCAGGTTCTGGTCTCATTTCGTTGCCTGCAGATGACCAGGAACCCCGGGAGCCGTTGATTGAGAAGGAAGCTGAAGGTGACCTGGCAAATCATCAGCCCAGTGAGGAGCAGAGGAAGAGTGAGAGCAGGAAGAGCAGGAAGTATTCCCGCCTGTCCTGCCTGCGGCGCCGCCGCCCCCAGCAGGGGGACGAGAGCGACCTGAGCGAGGGCTTTGACTCCGACTCGAGCCAGGGCTCCATAAAGGGCAGCGATGGCTCTGAAAGCGGCTCAGAGAAGAGCGACGAGGAAGCAGAAGCTGCTTTTGATGTGGAGACGGACTCTGACATGAACAGCCAGGAATCTCGCTCCGACTTGGAGGACATGGAGGATGAGCCGGGCGAGGAGGGAAGCGGCCGCGGCAAAAGCGGGCCCGAGGAGGCCCTGAAGAACTGTGTGGATGGCAGCGGGCTGGGGGACTCCAGGAGCTCCGGCGTCTCGAAAGCTGAGGCTCCAGACCCAGCCCTCAATGGGCCAACCTCCCTGAGCACGAGCGACACCAGCATAGCCAGTAACCTCCAGGCCATGTCAACCCAACTGTTCCAGACCAAACGCTGCTTCCGCTTGGCTCCCACCTTCAGCAACATCCTTCTGAAACCCAGCAGTGACCCCCCGCTTTTGAAGGATGGAGTAGAAGGCAAACCATGTGTCAATGGAGATCTGGAGAAGTCCAGCTTGGCAGAGCCAGGTAAGGAGCAGTGGCCTTGTCCCGTGTATTTGGTTGCAGGTCTGGGTCTGTTTGCTGAATTCCAGCCCTTCTGCTGGGACAGGTTCTCCTTTGGGCAGGTTTGGAGGAGCAGGTTGTCCTGCAAGTGCTGGGGCAGGGCTTGGGTTGGGTGTTTCCTCAAGAGCTTTACTGTTCCTGCTGGACATCCAGGAGTATGTGCACTGAGCAAAGGACCTGCAGCCAGCCAGGATTAGCCATTGCTCAGGCTAAACGCCGAGCAGGCAGCTCCGGTGATCCAGAGAATTCCAGCACCTCTTAAGGATTCCCTTCCTTTTTCCCCATGTGGAACCTCTCTAATGAGAAACTTCCAAGTGCTTTTGGTGCTGGGCAGTGCAGGAAGCTCTTCTTGACATGAAGCTCTCAAGGAGTCGGGCTGTAAGATGGGACCTGGGGGCAGGTGAGAGGTGTTGGGGGCCTCTTCCTGTGCCCCTCTGACACTGTGGAGCTTCCACAACTGTTTAGAGGGGGGGGAGTTATAAAAAACAGCTTGAAAGGGAGAGGGGATGCACTACAGGGAATTGTTTGAGTCTCAGATAAACCCACACGGGCCTGTTTGTCATTCCTGGAGCAAGGAAACACTTTGGCAGCCTGTTGGGTTCAGGCTTTGCCAGGATCGGGAGGGGAACTATGATGTTAATGGTTGCTGGCTCCCAGCATTGCTTCAGAGCCACTTGAAAGAGAGGGGGGTAAAGGAAGAAACAAACCATGTGCTTGGCTTCTCCAGGGGTTCAGTCTAATATAAACACATATTTCTGCATAATTTTCCCTTTGTTTTCCAGACGATGTGTCTGACTCCGAGGAAAGCATTTCAAGTAACAAATCCTGCAGGAATGAGCGCTCCCTTCAGGAGAAGCTGCAGATCATGACCAACGAGGGGCTGCTGCTCACTGTCAAGGTGTTCCTGGACTGGCTGAGGACAAACACAGACCTCATCATCATGTGTGCTCAGGTGGGAGCTGGGGTGGGTTCCAGGGTGCTCAGTTCCTCTGGGCTGGGCTGCTGAGGGCGTAGGAAAGGTGCTGTCCCAGGCCTGGACAGGATGGGAGATGTTAAATACTCCTCAGCTGAATGAAGATGATCTTGATTGAAGAAGTGGAACGAAATTTCTCCTTCAGCTCATCCTGAGGCCTCTGAAAGGGGCTGGAATTCCCAAGGGAGTTGTAGCCATCGCTCTTGACCTTTGTGTTCTGTGTTCTGCTCCTGCAGAGCTCTCAGAGCCTGTGGAACAGGCTGTCAGTGCTCCTGAACCTCCTGCCTTCTGCTGCAGACCTGCAGGAATCAGGTACTGGGGGGGGAATGTCACGTTTCAGCTGTCAGGAATTGCCATGAGGGGGGAGACATCTGCCAGCAGCACTTCGCTGCTGAGCACAGGGGGAAGCAGCATCGTGTGTGTTGGTTTAAACACCATTCCAGTTAGATTTGAGCTCTATTAGTGCATCACATACAGCTGACAAGACACTGGCACACTCTCCCCTGGGTGTGAAGCCTTTATGTGGCCAGCCCCTTGAGAATTACCTCTCAAGGGTGTGATTTGTGTCATGGCAATCGTGGAAACTAGGTTGGAAGCTCCAAAAATGCTCATGCTGTGCCCTGCACCTCAGCCTAAAGGTGGCTGTGGAGAAGCAGAGCTGAGCTGGGAATGCTTGTCTGTTGGAACAGCTGGGACAGAGAACGCTCCCATTGCTGCTCTCCCCCTCATCCTCCAGGCCTGGCCCTATGTAACGAGGTCAAGGACATTCTGAGTGGTGCTGAGCTCCCAGACCTAAAAGCCAACTTGCTGCTCCCAGAGGATGTTGCTCTGCGGAACCTGCCTCCTCTGAGGAGCGCACACAAGAGGTTTAACTTCGAGCAGGACAGGCCCATTTTTACACCCCTCGAGGAGGTGAGTTGGGCTAAATCCTGGCCGAGCTGCTCTGCTGGAGGCCTCATCCTTGCCCCACGAGCTCCCCTTCTGCTGGTGGGAGCTGCTCAGGCTGCAGCCCCCGGGGGGACGCTGCTGCTGAGGCCCTGCTGCTGCTTTCAGTCCATCGTTCGGATCTGCTGCATTCGGAGCTTTGGCCACTTCATCACCCACTTGCAAGGCAGCATCCTGCAGTTCAACCCCGAGCTGGGGATCTTCATCAGCATAGCCCAGGCAGAGCAGGACAACCTGCTGCACCAGGCCCAGGCCCAGTTCCACATGGTGAGTTGGCAGAGGTGGGCTGATGCTCTGCGCTTGGCACAACTACCTGGAGGTTACTATTAGCTTGTAACTAGAAGCACGGAGCTTTTTTTGGGGGGATGGAAGTTTCACTCCTTAAAGCTGCCCAGGTGTCCCCTTTTCAGCCTGTCCCCCTGTGAGCTTGTGTGTTTCCTGCTAACTGATGTGGAAGTTTGGTTTTGTGACTAGGCTGCAGAGGAGGCTCGTCGGAACAGGCTGATGAGAGACATGGCTCAGCTGCGACTGCAGGTAGGAGGAGATGCTGCTCCCAGCCCTGCTCCTTGCTCTGACAGCCTTGTTCCAGTGACCGAGGGTGAAGGACCTTCTCCTAATGTCCAGTCTGAACTTCCCCTGGTGCAGCTTCCTCCCATCTCCTCATGTCCTGTCTCTGGTCAGCAGAGAGAGGAGATCAGCACCTCCCCTTCTGCTTCCCACTTTGAGGGCTGTGATGAGGCCACTCCTCAGCCTCCTCTTCTCCAAGCTCCAAGTGACCTCAGCTGCTCCTAAGTCTTGTCCTTTAGACCCTTCAGCATCTGGGTCCCGCTCCTCTGGATTCACTCTGATAGTTTCATGTCCTCCTTCTGTTGAGGTGCACAAGAGCTGCCCACACACTGCATTGCCCACTGTGCACCTCCCTGCCCCACTGCCTGCAGCCAGGCCTCTGCTCCCTGTGC